TACGGGGGGGCGGAGCCTGGCTGGGGAGCTGATCAGACGCGTGCAGCAAGAGCTCTCGTCTGAAATCCTACATTACTCGAAATAACCCCAGTTCTCATGCTGCAAAAGTGTTTGAATTTGCATCACCCAGGTAGGGGCTGCAAAGGAGAACATACAGAAGTTACTCCTGAAACTCTAAGCCGCCAGGAATGCGGGCTGCATTGATGGGGCCTACCGCAATGACGACTAGCCTGAATAGCGGCCTGGACAGAGGTGAGGGCATGGGTGAGGCGGCCGATCGCCTGGCCCGGAACCCCCTGAAAGCAAACTCAGACACTGCGGAGTGGGGGATATCCCGGCACCAGCAGCATACCCACCGCTGACACTCACGTCCCAAAGACTGCAAACACCACGAGTCCCTGACTCCAAAATGGCGGATACCACACGCCAGTCAGCAAACATGGAGACAATCGGAAAATCGCCAAACTACACCCTGACTAAGCTAGATGCAATTTTTGCTGCCTTCTGGACCAGGATTGCGGAGAGGGCACTGAACACGGCTAAAGCTAATCGTACCACTCTTGCACCCACACCACCCGCACTCCCGGGCACCAAGAGGGGACGCAGAATGATAGCCGCCAGAGACCCCCCAAAGAGACACAGAAAACAGGTCCGGTGGCACAAGCAGAAACGTAGAGCCTTCACCATGACAAGCACACACCCCCAATGTAAGCTGCAACAACCCCACAGCGGACTAGAGGCGCCATGCCCACCAGGACAACGCAGATCGACTGCTAAAGCGCGACTTTACCACCCAGATACCTGGCACCTAGTCATATCTACACCTCTGAAGTCTCAGGAGACAGGGGCTCCCGGAGACTGCATCTGGCGACCGGAAGGGATCGGATGAACATAGACTGGAGATCGGAGCCCGGCATGTCTCGTTACAGCAGGACTTTCACAGTATGGCTTATGTCGCAGGAACGGATCTCTGACCGTTAGTTCAGCATCGAGTAACAGATGTTCTTCCAATGTCTTTATTTTACCTTTACCTCTTGCAGTTTACTAATGTGGTGCCTACCTTGTCTCCACTCTAATAGCGCATGCAATATTTTATTAGCCAGTCCTCACTAAAGGGGCACCTTAAGCTTGTACAAACGGATGGTGAATCTGCTGGTATTTCCCTGTAGTCGACAATGTAATCTCACCCTAAGCATAACAGCTGTCTAGTTTATCGATGCAATGTTGAATATTTAGAAGCCTCAGCGCAATTAACCGTGTTTTATATATATATGTTATATATATATATTTAGTCCAGCATGCTAATATATAAACCACTGATGTTTAAAAGCCCGTTACCCTCATGTTATTTAAAAAAAATTTGTGCCATTTTAACTGCCACACTTAGAAACATATGGTCATACATTGGGAATATTGTTTTACTCAGAAGATGTAACTGAGCATTATTTGGGGATTTTTATGACAGTGGTACATATCAAGTGTAAGAAATACTCAGCAAAAATACAACATATATGTAAAAATAAAAAATTTCCCCCCCTCATTTTCTGCAAAAATGGCTTGTGTTCTTAAGCGTAAGACAAGGTTCTGAAGCTGTGTCCTTAAGAGGTTAACATTTCCACTCTGTGTTACCTTGTCAGTATAGGTCAAATGTTAGAATGTGGTGCTTTAGCCGATAATTAGTCAGGCTATACAGCATTAGTTGGTGTTAACAGGCTAGAAGACCATGGTTACTTGCTTCAAATAGGTAGGGTAGGTAGGTAGCATTATGGTACTGTACCACATCTATAGGAGATCATACAGTGTTAGAGAGCGTGAAAACCATACAGAAGGAAAAATCATAACGAAAGAGTAATCTTTTGCATGGCATTCAAAACACACAGAATGGCATCTCCTGTTATCTTGGAGAGAGTATGCTCAGGTGGCAGTCCCAGGAGCATGTTCAGCCGATTCCTATAAGCGGCAAGGTTGTTGCACCTCATGGGCAAACGTTTCCCCAGGCCTGCATTAGGGCCGTCATCTTTATTCCACAGACTTGGGTTTATCGTGGCACCAAGTCTATCCCCGTCAGGGAGAGGGCGAAAGAGGAGAGTGGCAGTCGCAGCTGTTTAATCTTTCGCCACGTGGATGGTACCTGGAGGTCAAACCTTGGATGGCTGTCGACCTTAGTGAGCGGTCACAGGGTTGTGTAAGCTTCATCTTAGGTCTTGTGCTCTAAGGTGGCTTCACCACACTCGGCTGCCTAGTTCTCCTGTTTCCCTTCCGCTGTACAGGCCTATTGGCTGTGGTGTCTGCGTTGCGAGCTTGAATATTCAGCCAGAATTTCTCAAAGATCCGATTTAGCCGCCACTGGGAATATGCAATGGAGCCACTAAAGGTTGCATTCGTGCCACGTGTGTTTGAGCAAATGGGATGTTGGCTAGTGGTTCAACATCTGCTCAGTTTGAGTGGTAGACAGCCGGTATAGCTGACTACTGTCCAGAGGGGACCGGGATATCCCCCTCCGGTCCAGAGGAGGGGCGGGTAGGAGATTTGCAGTTAGCGTTGCTTGAATCAAAGGGAGTAAAGCGGCTGTCTCTCCACCACTCGGTCTCCAGTAGGCTGCAGCCTGCCGCCGCCGTTCTTGGTGCCTCAGAGCATTGAGTCTAGTGTCAAAACAGTTTGCATGGCTGAAATCTGTTAGGAAATATTTAAACATACATGACTCTACATAATGCTATAATGTATCAGTCCTTCAATATACAGTGCACGTAGATTGTGTGCTTGGTGTAATTACAATGATATTCCCAGGTTACCCATTTCTTTATTATATTTCTGGGGACCAAGCAAATGTAAGAGCAGGAAGCATTTGGATGCATGTATTTTACTACCAACCTTCTCTTTATGATCGTTTTACATCACATTAATGTCTGCTACTTGAGTGTTTATCAATATTTTTTTTTTTAAATTCGTGATTTAACCCGTTAAGGACCAACTTCTGGAATAAAAGGGAATCATGACGTGTCACACATGTCATGTGTCCTTAAGGGGTTAAATGTGGTAAATCTTATTTCTTCTGGCTGGAATGTGTTAATGCTTTCAGCCCTGCCTGTCCCTTTTGCGTGTGAGTGAAAAAATGTGAGTGAGTGCTAAAATTCTTTTTATAGAGCCTCAGATGGAGAGACGAGCCTGGTGAAACCACGAGCACCTGTCATCGTGTATTGATCATTAGCTGTATCATCAGATGTTAGAAACCTAATATCGTATCACAAATGAAAACAAGGGTGAAAATAATTTAATGAATTAGGGAACTGGAGAGACCTTCACATCATTACTGTATGTTAAAGGTCGTTCTACTAAGATTTATAAGATACATTTTTTGCATGAAGTTAATTTAAAAAGACCAAATAAAAGTATGACTCTGACAGAAGAAGACATGATGGTTATCACATATAATATTTGTTGAAGATTGGATGTTTTTTTGGGATATACCTGTACATTAAAGGGTTACTTCAACCAAAAACAGGGTTTTTGAAAATATCTTTCAAGGTCAATAGTCCTTAGCTTCTGGTCCTGGACTCTGGTGTGCCATGATGCTACTTCAGTGGGTCTTTAATGGTGGGAGCAGGCACATCATATTCATCAGGGCTCAGATGACTGTCCACATTAAGTTGTTTATTGTATCAGCACTGTTTTCCCTAAACACAATGGAAATCTCACTGAATAGAATGAAATGTATAATCTATATAACAACTAAAGAATGGGTCAAGGCAAATGTATCACAAAGCTAATAAAATGTACATTATGAATAAGGCAAACATTTTATTCAAATTTCATATATTGTTAATTTGAGCAAAGCCCATAGAAGCATACATGTTTAGTTTAATATTTTTTTTTTGCATACTGGCAATATATGGTTGTCCAGGTGCCTGACAATCATCCCAAGCTGCTGATAACAAGATCTGTTTTTTTTTCTATAAATAGAATGACATTCACAGCTAGATTTAGCTATATTAAGAAATATTTTTGATTGTGTGTTTCAGTATCCTTTTGTAACCAAAGCTTTTGTGTTCTTCTCTGCAGTTGTCAATGAAAGAAGTTGGAGAAGGCTTGCAAGAGCAGATGAACAGTATGATGGGTGCTCTGCAGGAACTGAAGCTTCTCCAAGTTCAAGCAGCCTTACAGCAGCTGGAAATTTCAGGAGAACAAAATTACATCTACAACGTGGAACAGAGTCAGCATTGCCAAAATGAATGGGAGACTTCTGAGGTCAGGCATTGGTCCAGCCAACAGGCTGAAAAATCAATAGCAGGTGGGAGAAGTCTAGACAACAGCTCTTTGGAAACCAGCCGAGGGTCTTCTGCTTCAAGCTCATTCCACTCTTTCTCTGTACATGGCACAACGCAAGGGCATCAGGTGTCATCTAAACAAAAGGAGACTGACACAAGGCACACATATTCCTCTTCCATCTTGCCTGCAGCAGAGACTTGGAAAACCTGCGAAGACTATGAACCACGACTTACTGAAGACCATAAGGGCCAGCATTTGACAGATGGTACAAATATTCAACATGATTACAAAAAATGCATAGATGAACCATTTTCTGAAGAGGCAAAAGACTGGACATCATCTCTCATGTCACAAAGCCGAAACAGGCAGCCCCTTGTTTTGGGAGACAATATTTTTGCTGATCTTGTTGGAAATTGGTTAGATTTGCCAGAGCTCGAAAGAAAGTGTGATAGGAATGTCAAATTGGTGAGTTCTAGCAAGTCTCAAGACATCTATAAAAAAATATCCTTAACAACCAACTTTTTTAAGAAGTTCCTGAGAAGTGTTCGGCCAGATAGAGACAAACTTTTAAAGGAAAAGCCTGGCTGGCTCCAGGCAGAAGAACAAACTATTCAAATATCTAAGAGACATAAAATTTCAAGCAAACAAAAAGGCATATTTTATTTTCCATCTCAGAGTGACACGAAAGGTTCTCATGGCAGATATGAAAAAACTGGCAAAAACAATGTTAAAGGAATTGGCAACCTTGCCAAAAATGGTCAGAAGGAACCTGATTGTGTAAACTCGGGGTTTGACATGAATACAGTTGTTTGGGTTTAAAAAGAATGAAAGGAACTAGAATTTCAGAATCTGGGCAAAGATTTGTTACATTACGTAAGATGTTATATGCACTGATGGTTTATTTAATTCAGCAGAGCTGAATAATAAAATAGGCTGGACATTTTCCCGTTACGGTTACGGAAATATTGTAATTAAATTGTGGACTCCTACCAAACATGGAAAACGTGTTTCTGGAAGAGAACAAAAATGAAAGTTCAATTTATAGATAATGTGCTGAGCAGGCTTTCAGCACTAGAAATACATAGTTTCCTTTGATAATATTAAACGCATACAAGGTCAGCAGGTTGCTCAGGAAAGCATTATGTACTATAGCAGGTTTGCCTACTTTCGGATGTAAAACATAAATCCTAACTAGCAACTGAGTTTGCTTTCTAGGTAATTCACAGTTAATTATTATTTACCTCAAGTTATATTAAAAACCCAATAAGAGACCCATCGAGAAATTGTTTTCTCTCTCCTGCCTTCAAGGACTGACCTACAAAGTGTTAATACAGAAAAGAAAATAATGTCTCGTCTGTCTGTGTGATTCTCCTAGACAATAAGTCTCAATGTTTTAAATGAAAATTAAACAATTAGTTATTTTCATTAGATGAGACTAGCAGGAAAGTAATACACTCACTTTTCTAGTTACCAGCTTCCAAAAAAGATTGAACTGATTATTGATTGACTACTCTAAGGGGTTTCCTGCTTTTTGTTCCTGTTATGTCATACATTCTTCCTTTACGTAACTGGAAACTCTCAAGACAATGAATGCCACATGCACAAAAACTGAAAGAATTAACAATAGCAAATGGCATAATGAATAACCTGCAATGAAGACAAAGCACACGGGACAAAAAAAAAAATACAACTGGTAAAATTAATAAAAGGCTATTGTGTTGTCAACAAATCTAGTTACATGCTGGACATGAAGAACCAAGACTGGGTTTTTTTTGTAATGTGCTCCCCTTGGAAGCAGTTTTGAGTGATTACATCCATGAACTGACTTAGTTTTGTTCACGTAATTCTGCTCTGGGACACACAATAACGTATATTATTGTATTTGTACATTTTGTATATATGCAAACCTTAAACACTGAAATAACCTGCAACGTTGTAAGTAAATGTTAACTTTGACAAAAGGTGAATGACACTTAGGTTTCTCCTCACTTAAAGCAATCAGTTATTTTCTCGTTTACAGATCACGCCATATAAAGCATATGTTTACCTAGGGCAACAGTGAAGTGAGTATATCATTCTCAGGAACCTCAGGATAGAAAATGCCTGTTGGCTGTTGAGGCCACAAGACTACACTTCCTTAATTTAAATTGAGTTGTGTATAGTGATGTCATGACAGCAGTGCCATCCAGGCAAAGTGGAGATACTGCGTACAAGCAGCGGGTCCTTGTGGCACAACCCAGCTATAGTGCCAAGCTACTCAAGCACTTTTGAGTCTCTCTATGTTATATGAGGAAATTGTAACCGTAGACTTTGGAGAAATAAAATTGTCTGGAGCACTGAGATCCCTTGGTATGGCCATTTTTATTGAGATTTCCACCCTGATAATTTGAGGAGTGCCATTTGACAAACAATATTTTAAGTAAAAGTAAGTCCAAACATTCCATACACAAACAGGGTGCTGGGTACCCCAGGATTTAAAAGGTGATTTCAAAATTGATTTCAGGTCCCTTATTGTGACAATGTAACAGCAGTACATTCTAGATTCTGCTAAAAAAAAAAAGCAGCAAGGTCTCTCAGTATTCTTTTTTCTTTTCCAACTCTAAAACAAAATAAAAAAGGAATAAAACCAGAATTACCCTAAATTCCCACAGTGAACTGATAGATATAACGATGAAGTATAGTTTGATTCCTAAATTATTTGTTTTATACTGATTGCAGATTGAGAACCTAGTAGTGCAGGGTGACAACTTCTTGCGGTTATTGGACAAAGCTTTATTCTCCATCAGCCAATCTGCATGCTTTAGTAATTATGATGCCATGAGTCGCCTGGTGCTGTTTCATGGTAAGGTGTCAAACTATTTGCAAATTATTTGTCTCTTTCCTGGGTCCCCTGAACACTTATCAATCCTTCACGAGGGTCCCCTTGTCCACCTGGGCCTTCCAGTCTTCTGTGATATCACTGAAGTAGATGTGCCTTTTATGCTTTAAATCAATTCTATCCAACTTTGGTCATTGTCTGAGTGTGTCAGCTGATGTTCTCAGCCAATTAATTAAGCAATTATAAAATTATATATTATAGTGTGGAATGAATCTTCAAATGTGGATACGTATATTCCCTAAATTACCTCTGTTTGTACAATATACTGTATGATCTGAATTGTCATTATGGAATACACATCTATGATACAATTTAGACCTTTACTATATCAATTATTTTTTTGAGTAATGGCATATTTATATGTATTTTAACATGTAAATCAGTCAGGAAACTTAAATTGGTCTATATTCCATCCTACTAAATTAAAGGACCACTATAGTGCCAGGAAAACATACTCGTTTTCCTGGCACCATAGTGCCCTGAGGGTGCCCCCACCCTCAGGGTCCCCGTCCCACCGGGCTCTGGGGGGAGGAAGGGGTTAAACTTACCTCTTTCTCCAGCGCCGGGCGGGGAACTCTCCTCCTCTCCGCCTTTCCTATGGACGCTGGCGTCTTCTCACTGTGAAAATCACAGTGAGAAGCGCGGAAGCGCCTCTAGCGGCTGTCAATGAGACAGCCACTAGAGGCTGGATTAACCCATTTATAAACATATAGAAAAAAGGGTTAAACCTAGCTGGACCAGGCACCCAGACCACTTCATTAAGCTGAAGTGGTCTGGATGCCTATAGTGGTCCTTTAAGCTTCCCCAATTATAGTTCTCTTTTACCTATGAAAACCTGCATGGTTTAACAGCTGTTCCCTAAAGCCACCTCAGATATTCTTTCCATAATGAGGAAAATAGAGGCTCACTTGATTGGGACACTCATACTAACATATTAAAGTGCTCTAGGCAGAATGATCTGGCTGCACCCAATATACATATTTCATTTTGTAATTTAGCTTGGATGCTGCTGTAACTAAATGAGAGTACGGAAGCTGGTAGTTTGATTTTTAGAGAGGTGATCGTTTATGATTAATTGTATAGATGTGTGTGTTGATGTTTGTATGTTGTTTCTTTGCTTGTGCTAATACTAGTGGCCATAAAACAGGCTTGCATTGTCACTTACATTTTCTGGGGTCTATTCATTAATAAAATCTCCACTCTGGCACATATCAGCTCTGCTATTATGTAAATCTATTTTGTGAGTTACTATCATTTTAGTGGATAGACTCCTCAATAACATTAACATCAAAATTAACTTCATAATTATAAATATTATGAAATATATAGTGATTTAGTATGTAAGGGGTGAATTGTGTCCTACTCAAAAGAAAAGAGAATAAACAGCTAAAATGATAAAACAGACAGATAATAATGTTTAATTTATCTAGTGACAAAGCCAATGAGTTGGCTTTAATGAGCCAACATCTGCTGAAAACATATTGCAAAGCAGACAGTACAGGGGACAGTTGCTCTTTTTAAATATATGTTATTGCTTATTACATATTTAAAGACATAGTCGCAAACATTGCACATTGTTGAAGTCGCAAGCTTGATATAAAGAGATTGTAGTCTCCAAGGCAGCAAGGGTGTGATTCATTGAGTTGAATTGAGACCTGAGTTGCAAAATCAAGGTAAAATGGGTAACTGAATTTAATAGCAGCCAACCTTGCCCTAAAATGGTAAGACTTCAGGGAGATTATAAAAAGGGCCAGTGAAATGGTGAGTGTGAAAATATGTGTCTTGGTAACAAGACAGCGTGATATGCACTCTTCACTATTCGCTCACAATTTCACAATTCTGTTTCTCAGGTTTAGTCACGAAAATGTGAATTGTGCTATAATAACTGTTTTGAAAAATTCTGCAATCACCTGTATTCCCACTTTGCTATTCTGGTCTAAATGTTACAACTTTTCAGTTCATTGTGAAACAAGAATGAATATATATATATAATTTATTTTTCTCTTGAATTCAAGTATTTTGGCCTATACATTGCACACTGGTTTACATGTGACTACAGCAAACTGATTTATGAATATAGTTAAGGTAAATGTTGTAATTAAGGTAACTGTGAACGTTTTAAACTATTCTTTCACATAGGAGCTCCACTGATAGATCATATACTTCTTTAAACAAGCTTCAGGGATGTTTGCATTTTGGGTGTTGAGTGAAATTGGGTATTTCAATCCAATGAGTGTTGCTGCAAATGCTGTTTTTTATGTGACTATCATGATGGATAATAAAAACGTGTTTTGCAAAACTGTCTTTTGGGTGATTTGTCCTACAATAGTTTTATAGGTGTCATATGACCACATTAATGCCTTGATAAATGATTATCACAATAACTAGGATTGACAGCAATACATCCCATTGGATTCTGAATAATACCAACCAAATCAAAATGAAATACGGCACAGAGTCGGATATATATTTAGGTTGTTTTTTTGTTGTTGTTTTTTTATTGCTTACGTACCTTATTAATCCTGTGCTATTAGAAACATAGTGTTGATCACATTTTTCAGTTTCAATGTATTTTTAAAATGTCATTTCTCACTAACATTATCACAAAATTATTTAAAAATTTATATTGAAAAGTGTTTAATGTTGTTATAATTTCCACTAATCTCTCATACAAACTACAAGTATGCATCAAGATTTCAAGAAGATAGATATAGTTTAATGTCTCCTAAATAAATGTGCACAGCACTGAGCTAAGGTCCAGACATTAAGGCATATTTAAATGTAGAACTAATAACAGAACTCAAGGACCTTTCCTTGATGCTCGACCTACCGGAGAACTTCACTCACTGTCTTGAACGTCATAATTGACAAACTAGACTCCAACCAAATAACACTTAAAATAGTAATGGGTTTTCCTATGTTTTAGACTGTACTGCAATAATTTATAATGTATTTAATTCCTGAAATGTACAAAGAAGAGGCACAGAATATTGATGGCTTCACTACAAATTCAACCTATGAATTTTAGTAATGGTTAGAGACGTTTACTCTGGTGATACCCAGTCATGGACTGTGTAGATGAAGAGCAATGAAGCAGCTGCTATGTTCCCAATGTATTAGCAACATTCCTGGCGCATATTTTGAGGGGTTGAACATATTTGTGTAGTATTACTGCTTAACTGGATCCTGGCCAGTATGTCCATCAACAGAACATAGCAAATGTAATTCATGACATATCTTCCGTTTGCATTTGATTCACCGCGAATACACCCATCTCCCAGACTGCTGTGTGGCATTTTTTACATCTGGAGAATTATCTATATGGTGCAGCTGCTAGGTATGAAAAACTAAGATTAGCCCGGTGCTTGTTTGTTCTGCAGACCCTCAGAATGCTTGGACTATGAAAGTCCACTTGCTGGAGGTCTTTTGCAAAATAAGTTAGTATATGCTATTTTAAAAAAAAATCTTTATTTATCAGTTCATGCATATCAAGTCACATTGACAGAAGGCACGGCAATCAACAAGTATAGTAAACAGTGAGGCACAATGAATTAACATTGGTATAAAGTTTCAACAGGTTTCACATTGGAGGAAGCACAAGTGCATCAGGTGTATGTACATTAGCATTACAGCATTTGTCTTAAATCTAGGTTGACAGGTCTAATGTATGTGCTCCCGACCGAAGGGCAGGCTATTTCAGCTGCTGCCCGTTCTCAGTATTCTCTTGCGACCCATTTTTGACTTTCCACAAGTTTAAAGGGATAATCCAGACGTGGACCCCTTGCTCACGGTGCCTAGGGAGATATCAGCTATGCCTCACTGATGATGCCTAACAAGGCTGAAATGATTGTCTGGGGTTGCTGTATCTCTTGTGCAGAGAGACCTTGCTGGCATTTCAGATCTAGACTGCCTGTATGGGTGGGACCAGTCTGATATGCTTCAGATATGTTCTCTCTGTAATGGCACAAGATGAGCAAAAATCAGCTTGAGAACTGAGTGGGGACCGACCGAAGGGCAGGCTATTTCTGCTGCTGCCTGTTCTCAGTATTCTCTTGCGACACATTTTTGACTCTCCACAAGTTTAAAGGGATAATCCAGACGTGGACCCCTTGCTCACGGTGTCTAGGGAGATATCAGCTATGCCTCACTGATGATGCCTAACAAGGCTGAAACGATCGTCTGGGGTTGCTGTATCTCTCGTGCAGAGAGAACTTGCTGGCATTTCGGATCTGGACTGCCTGTATGGGTGGGACCAGTCTGATATGCTTCAGATATGTTCTCTCTGTAATGGCACAAGATGAGCAAAAATCAGCTTGAGAACTGAGCGGGGACCGACCGAAGGGCAGGCTATTTCAGCTGCTGCCCGTTCTCAGTATTCTC